CCCTTTATATTAAACAGACGACAGTATCCCTTTAATATTAAACAGACGACAGTGTTCCTTTAATATTAAACAGACGACAGTGTTCCTTTAATGGCAGACTCAGCATGCTATTTTCATTTATTTTTTCCAGCCAAAGACGTCTTGGGGTTCCGAGCTACCCAGATGAACGAACTTGACCAAGCCAAGGCGTGTTTCAATTTTACTGTTGGAAGTCCGGAGAGAATGGAACTCTATTCACCCCACTACCCCAAAAAATACCCAAACAACACCGACTGTATCAAAAAAATAGAAGGTAACTCGTAAGATGAAAAATAATATAATCAACGAAGTAAAGTTACTAACAATATATATCACGTACTCACAGGCTTGACGAAACTACATTTACGATTGTCATTACGTCAAAATTTCAACGTTTACGAAAACGTAGATGGCAGCACTGAGCCCTTTGCGGGTAATTAATTTGTTTTGTTTGTTTGAAGTTAAGCACAAAGCTACACAATGGGCTATCTGTGCTCTGCCCACTACGGGTATTGAAACCCGGATTCTAGCGTTGTAATTCCGCAGACATTCCGCTGTGCCACTGGGGGGGCCAGGTAATTAATACTGACCATTAAAGTCTCATACAGATATCGTTAAAAAATTCCGTCCGACAAATTTGATAAACGTGTCCTTTCTTAGTGATTATTAAAGATAAACCTCCTCGTTTCAAACTTCAGTCGTTTCATAAATCATCGGTTGTGTCGTTTTAAAATGTCGTTTTTTAGAACTCTCTGCCACTTCAAAGTTTTTCTTTTTTTATTATTACGAAAAATAAAAGCGTTTAAACCTTTATCAAGCCATTTCTTCATATTTCGGTTATCACTGGCACGTGAAGCTCAAAGTATCCCTCCCTCTAAATGAATCATTCCCCACCCCTAAAATTAGTTTCAAAGAAAAACATCAAGTAGTTATTCCCAATAAATGGCACGTGCTTAAATAATTGTCTCAGCAGAGACAGATACTGTTTTTTTCTATTTTCTTCTTCTTCTTCTTCAAAACACTTCAATCGACCGCCATTCCTTCATTTCTCGGCGAATTGACTTGAAATTTGGTAGGGTTATACCTTTGACCAGTGCAGCCATATGCTTTTCTTATTTAGGCCTTTTTAAATAATTTATGGGGTCAACCGAAATGTATATTTTGGGCTCCTGTGCGGTCGTATTTAAAGAAATCAAGATGGAAATTGGCACAAATACAAATATGACATACAAAAATGTTAGATTTGTTCATTCTGAATCTTTTCAGGGGCGTTAGAGCCCACAAAAAAACAACTTCGCATAGCTTAATAAATGACGATAATGAAATAAAAACGAAAAAAAAATCAGTAAATTGATTTACTGTGTCCGAGAGAACATTATCATAAAGTCTATATTGTTAGGTTTTATTATTGAAACTAGTATCTAATTATATTTACTGTGTCCGAGGAAACATTGTCATAAAGTCTATATTATTATGTTTTATTATTGAAACTAGTATCTAATTATATTTACTGTGTCCAAGGGAACATTGCCATAAAGTCTATATTGTTAGGTTTTATTAATTAAACAAATATATATAATTATATTTACTGTGTCAGAGGAAACATTATCATAAAGTCTATATTGTTAGGTTTTATTATTGAAACTAGTATCTAATTATATTTACTGGGTCCGAGGGAACATTGTCATAAAGTCTTTATTGTTATATTTTATTATTGAAACTAGTATCTAAATATATTTACTGTGTCCGAGGGAACATTGCCATAAAGTCTATATTATTATGTTTTATTATTGAAACTCGTATCTAATTATATTTACTGTGTCCGAGGGAACATTGTCATAAAGTCTATATTGTTATGTTTTATTATTGAAACTGGTATCTAATTATATTTACTGGGTCCGAGGGAACATTGTCATAAAGTCTATATTGTTAGGTTTTATTAATTAAACAAATATATATAATTATATTTACTGGGTCCGAGAGTAAGCTAAAGTTTTTGACACTGTCTTAACTAGCGCCATACGGATATTACGTAGAACTAGACTTTCGAGATGACTTTCATCTGGAAGAAGCCAGCAACTGTGAATACGATTATTTAGAAATACTAGATGGTCCGTACGGATATTCCAATCTTCTTGGACGCTATTGTGGCGCCACCTTTCCACCACTCACCCAATCTTCTGGTCGTTATCTTTGGTTGAAATTCCATTCCGATGACAGTATAGAATACGTAGGGTTCAGAGCTGTGTTCAAGTTTTTTCCAATTGAAGGTGAGTTTGAATTTTAGTTAATCTGGAGAGAAATGTCGATAACCCGAAATTTCCATTTTCTGGGAATGTTTACTTTTTAGTATTACCGAATTATAATAACGTAAGTTAAATACAATCTTCATAATTCGGATTCTTGGTCAC